ATCTCGTAGAGGTTTAAAGAACAGATACAGAAAGACAGTTCAGCGGGGGTGGCCCTTATCTCAGCTGAGCAGTGGCAGCCAACAAACCACTGCCCTTCTGCTATCTGATTTTTTTTCAAGCCGAACTCCATCACTGCACACTATCAGCATGCTGTACGTGCCTCAGTTTGTCCTCATGTAAGCCTTCAATACATCCAATGCCGTGTTAGTCCCCTGCAGGAAGTGAATTTTACCCTGCCTAGCACCTCCCTCTTCTATTTCCTTGTTAAGCAAAGGCACTAAAAAAAACCCCCAGGCATTCATGGATCTCATTTCGTGGATATCATTTAAAGATTGTGTCAGTAAAACAATTGGCATGATACTGCTCTCTTGCTTCTACATCAAAAGCAGAAGGGGTGACATCACGAGGCAAGGCCCTTTCTTTTAGAAGAGATACCACTGATTCTGTCATAATGATGCCTTAGAGAGGTATCATTTCTGCTCTGCAAAATGACTGATTTTAACTATTTTTTCGGGTGCATATTGTTTCCATATGGTGACTTCTGTTCACTCTTTATCATTATGCTGACTGCCTTTAAGAGCACCGACTTTTATACCTCACGTAACTATTCTGTGAAGGTACAGCAAAGTAAAAATACACCCAAATAACAGGAGCCTGGCTTGTCGCAACTGCTGCTGTTATTGTAACAATTACTGTAATGCTTAACCCATTAAAGTCTTCAAATACATGAATGAAGTCTATGTAATTAAAATGATCACGGGACACGCTGAATACAATTTAAATGATTTCACAATACACTTAACAGCGTGCTATATGCTATAAACATACCTTACACACAAATGCGCCTGGCGACGTGTTTAAACACTGCACTTATTTTTCCGCTAACAATTTTTGAAGATCCTGGTTTTTGAGCACATATTGCATTTTCTTCAGGCACAGATACGGTTGACCTCAGTTTATATTTTGAAACCAATATATGTGATAGGACAAGGAAATATATAAGGAAGTTGAAGTTAAATTAAAAGCAGGTATGAGCATGTATTTTATTACGGAGAATCAGACAAGTAAGATAGTAAAATCTGACTTCTTGCCACATTGAATTTTCTTTCACTACTCCATTATGGGAAACAGTATTTTTTTAATCTAAATTTTATAGAATCATCCCCAGACTAAAGTCTGTGGCATTCTATCGCATCCCCAAAGCATTACTTACACAATCCCACCGATTCAAACTCAAGCCACTCATTTAATGTTACAACTCGACGCAGAATTAAAAACAAGGATTCTTTCAGACTTTAGCAATGTTTTTATGTATTTTAGTCTGTGTTTTATCTATTGGTGGTAGCTTAGTGAAATTGTCTGACGTTACCGTGTTGAATCTAATTAGTCTGCTTTATCGTCTGGGCAGCACCTGAAAGGAAGCCGCATGCAGCAACATCAGTGGAGCATAGCCATCTTTCGCCACACAGAAATAAAACTATTCCACTTGGAAAAGTTGGATCCTTATGTGGATAAAAGAACCCAGGCTCCTCACGTACACAAGGAATGCGATATTCAGTGAGCCTGGCTGTGAATTTACAGCACGCCAGCTTCTCCATGCTAACTGCACGTGGGCACTTTTCCTCACGGGTCATTTGGCGAGTTCCACCAGAGAGCAATTCGGCCCACGGACAATCTGCATCACCTTCTGCCAGTGTCTGCCTCTTTCTAGCGACTATGCAGGCAGTCCAGGTGAACGAGGTTTATCACTTCAGGTGATTCAGTTAAATGAGTAAAATTAGACAGCTCTTCATAGCTATGTCTGTACTTACCTTCTGGGGCACGACCTGGGATTTTGATCCCCTGGTGATTCATATAAAGGTCTGCGGAGAAACACCACTGTTCCTGCCCGAGAGCCATTTCCATGGAAATGAGAAGAAGGTGATAGGCAGGAGGTAAATCCTGAATTCTTAGATCTTACCATGACACGGAACTGGGACGTGACTGGGATGTACATGACTAGGACTGCTGGCCTAAACAGCAGTAGTGTAGCAATTCTGAGTTACCTCTGTTTGGAAGTTTAATTTGAAAAAAAATAATAATTCAGATTTGACTAGGTTTTTCTAATTCTGCAGTCAATATGCTCTTTCTGCCTGTATTTGTTTTGAAGTATAGTAATTTTGTATCTGCAATTGATTATTGCCATAGGTCACTTTTGATCTTTCAATTATTATGACTTGAAAAATGGAACAATAGCAAATGCTACCATATGAAAAGTCATTCCTTCTCCTGAGATAGGGAACATTTCCACATACAAGTACCTCCAAACTGTTTTTTTGAAAGCGATTTAGACTTTAAAGAGTCATAGAGCTAATATGAATAATCAAACAAAACAACAATGCCAAATAAAGCACTTATCTCTAGAAAAATGTTTTTGTACCAGAGGTTCAAGATTACTGTAAAGACATTGCAGTATTGAAATGTTTATATTCTGAAATCTGTGAAATGTCAGAAGCAATAGCACAATTTTGTAATTTTCCAAGGATGGTATAAGATGCTGATTTCTTGTGAAAAACAGAGACAGGAAACAATCTTACAAACCATCTCTGCAAAGTACTCTGAGTAGTCTTGAAAGCACTGAAATGTGTTTGTTATCATGTGTTCTGATGATGGATCAAATTGGAAATTAAAGTTTTAGAAATAAAAAGGGAAATTTGAATACAGTATCAGAAAATTAATCAGCCTGAATCTTGGAGAAACCCAATAATAACTACTGAACTCCTGCACTGGGGAAAACTAGGAGGAAAATAAAATACCTGCCTGCCAGGATAATTTTCTTTGAAGTGATAGTCTAAACATAAACCTACTCCTATAAACTAACTAGAAACAAGTGGTTGTATTTAGACTATACAAAAAATGAAGCAGAAATGGCAATAATGTCAATTACTTTCTAGACATCATATAAACTACCAAAATATTTCTCAAAAAAATGGAAATACACCTTCAGTGTAGAAATGGGGCCAAAAAACATCTCCAAAAGATACTTCCTTAGTACAGAGAAATAAATAGAAGTTTACCACATTCTTTTTTATGAAAGCCTAAGCACAATCCACTTCCACTACAGTCACGACCTCACAGTTCAGAGCCGTTACAAGGAGCTTCATGCAGGCTAGCAAGAAAAGGTGCAGCACCTCCCGTCAGAAGCGTGCCCGGTTTGCAGGCAAGGCCTGAGCACCCAACAGATGAGTGAGGTTTTGGAAAGTTGCAAGCTGTATGATGACAAGATTATAAAAAATATATAAATGATATAATCACAAGATTATATTGTTTTCTTCCTCTTCTGTTTTCCATGTTTGAAGTTCAGCTTTGTGTTGCTATGTAAAAGCTTTTGCCAAACTTGAAGAAACTGAGGAACAGCTCCATCAGTTGTTGCAAGCTAAAACCCCAGGGAAAGGCAGGATACAAAGGCAATTAAAGAATGCTATGTAAATATGAACTATACATTGGGAGAAAAAAAAAGTGTATTTCAAGCAGCAAGGAGAGAGTCAGGCACTTAAACATTGGCATCAAGTACCATTTTAGATGCCCTAGAGGACCTGGAACCTCTCCATGTGGGAGACCTGCGCTTTTCTGGTGTGGTAGATGGAGCAAAGGGAAGATTCTCTGAGGCACCTAAAATGACCTTTGGCGCTCTGCATTCTTAAATCTCACCCTGACACTGAACTGGGAGGTGACTGGGATGTACGTGACTAGGACTGCTGGGCTAAACATAGCAGTATATAGTAATTCTGAGTTACCTCAGTTTGGAAGTTTAATTGAGAAAAAAGGCAAAGAGAGATCTGATGTACTATGAACTTCCGGATGTGATGAAATATTTGAGGTACAGCAAGTGAGTTATAAGCTTGGGCCTGCTGGAATTTGCACGGTCAAAAACATATTGAGTGGTGAGAGTTGAGACTGCGTGTGCTAGGCCGTTCTTTCATACGGAGAAGGAGTTACAACAGAAAGTCAGTCAAAAGCGTAAGGAAACATTGGAGTCAAATAAAATGTTTTAGTTGAGAAAAATACAACCTGGTAGTGCAGCAAAACGTGGTTGCATTTGGTTGCACCACAAACAGCGTTGCAAGAACAGACAGATAAGGTTCCATGTGTGATTTTGACATTTTAATTCCACACATTTTGAATAATTAACAGTGAAAGTTAACATTCTCTTGGATTTTAGGCAGTATCATGTATTTTTCTAACTATTGAACTTGCAAAGGTCTACTGTTCAAACACCAGAGCTACAGGAAGATATCCAATCCTTGGTTGCCCAAATCTGTGCTGGCGTGCATAAATGTCCATTTTGTGACCTCGGGTGACAACGGGAACAGCCAAACACAACTTCAGAATACTGTTCACAGACATTTTACAACTGGTTTGTTGAGAGTCTAGAAACACATTTGCTTGAAGGAAGTTGCCCTTTTTTATTAACCAGTTGATAGCACTGTCAAAAGAATAGTCTAGAATAACTTACCATTCTATTACTTTTACTTGTAAATCTAATTATTCTACAGAATCAGTGCTATAAAAAAATTCAGCATTAGAGAAACTGAAAGACAAAACCAAGAAGCACTAAGAAATTTCTGAGGAAAGTGTCTTTTTAAAGAGCACTTGTGAGCAGGGCATGTAATAAACAGCTTACTTTCCCTTATGTGATTTTTTACTTTACCTATAAAAGCACCCTCAGTTTGAGAACTATTCTCCTTTGACACATTCCAGTATTTTTACTTGTAATCCTGAAAACAGCAAGGTCAACAAGCAAATATTTAAGCACTTTTCAAAATCAGATAACATCCCTAGAATTCCATAAATTAGGCATCAATTTTGTTATTATCTACTCTACGCAGCAATCAACCTATTGGTAAACAGGTATACAACAGAAATCAAATTCTCTTAACTGGATTAGAAGGCTTCACTGTGTAAAAATGGCTGTAATGTTTCTCCCCACAGCAGTTACAATATATTTCATTTATATGTTTTACAAAATGCCATCAAATATTCCAAGAAAGAGCTTGACATCATTGATTTCATCATCAAGAAGGTATCTAATGAAGATTAAACAAACAAAAAAAATTGAATTAGGTACAGTACATCAAAACCTATGAAATCAGGAACACTATAAACAGTATAGTCAAGAGATACCAAGACAAGCAAAATAATTTTAAGGTCTTTTCCTTTCTAAGAAAAGTTAATCGCTACTATTATAGAGAAAATTAATATTTTTAAAATCAATGTTATGTATTAACACATCACCTAAACGTCTGTGTTCCATGAAGACCTAAGCACTGGAACACTGAGGCAACACAAAAACAGACACAATTTCGTATTACCTGGGATCTGCTTCGTTCTCCTGTTCTTTTGTGAAAATAAAAAAATCCTCTTTCCTAGTGAATTTAGAAGAGTCTGGGATTATTTGGGGGATCGAAGAACACTCTATGTTCTTCAGCTCTTGTGATGAATTTGAATGCTTTTTTTCTTGAAAACTGAACTGCAACGTAAATGTTAAAAAGTGTATATGGTTAAAATAACTAACCGAAAGAGAAGCTGACAGATTGTTGTAGTATGTAGTACAGGATATTTCTATTGATATTATGGTATTTGATAAAGACCAAGCACACGATAAATATATTTATGCACTTGGATGACTTGCAGAATCACAATCCAATTGAGTAAATAGTTTTGAAGTCATTCTATATAAAGTAAATTCAAGTCCTAGTTCTTTGTATCGTAAGTTGAACACATTGAACACAGGATGCCTGTGTGTTTGGACAACACAGAAAAATTCAGACATTGAGTATGTCCAAACTGATTTGTAAGTCAGATAAGGTAAATATATTCACAGATTAAATACTCTAATTATAGGAAATTCTATTATTGAAATATTTTTACTCACCATATTTGTATTTCCACTCTGCACAGACAAATTTGCTTTTGATGTGCTATTAACCACAGAAACAACTGAGTTCTGAATATTGGTCAGATCTTGTAATGTGCATGAACTGAAAATATCAAGTTGAATAATTTAAGTATTTTTACAGATGTGCAAAATTATTTCCTTTGCAGGTTTTTCTATTTATTTCCCTCCACACTTAAATTTAAAAAAAAAAAATTCAAATAATTAAAAAACTTGTACCTTTTAAATTGAAATTTCACTCACTTTCAGGAATGAACAGCCTTCCATACATTAAATTATACAGATACATGTGAAATACAGACAATATTTTTAAGCAAATAAAATTGTAATAAATTATAAAATGCTTACTCTTTTGAAATGCCATTTGTGCCTTTGCTTCTTGTATACTGGTAAAGTGGTTCACACTCGTCTGGAATTTGAAGGCAGGTATTTCCATGTTCTATATAAGAATGAAAGTTTTAAAAACCAAGTCACAAAACAGCCAAAACCACTTGTAAATATTTTACATAATGTGATAAATAATAGTTTGAAGATTATTCAAATGTCTTAATACTTGAAATATTCCTTCTGTGGGTTTTGGGCTAATGTAAATATAAGCAGTCAGATAAATTAACAGACATGCAGTTGCAGGCCATCAAAAAAATTTTTAATTATGACTTTTCTCAACTCTCTTCTGTATTAGATTTATCTCAATATAGGTGACATTCAGGGTAGTCATAAATCTGTTGGTCAAGTCAATTGACCAAGAACATCAGTTAGTTCTGTTCATTGTATAATATAATTAATTATTCTGAAATAATAGCCTTTAAAATAATTTGTACGTAGGAAAAAAAAAAAAGAATTTTGTTAAAATAACCTTACCTAATTCTCTACTGGCAAAGTTGCTAGCAAGTAAAAGTTTCTCATCATCAATATCATCCCAAACATCATCTCTCAGTTCAAAGTCCATATCCAAAGCATCTGAAAAACAAGATCTGCTTTTATCTGTATCAGTCAAGTTATATATTAAAGATTCTTTAACTTTTTTTTTTTAATGCCATTGTCTCTTGGCTCTTCTTACTCACAAACACTGAATGTTTCCAAGAGAAAGCTGTAATATATTTGTAAGGGACGAGTACAACAAAACTGGTTCTGTTTTACAACCAGTTGTTCAATCTATTGAAAGGAGGATTGTGACATGCATACTTTTTCATCAGCATTCTTTTGAGAACAGTTATTCTCAGTGTACGTTCTAGAAAAACGGGCCTTATGAAAATCACTGCACTTTCATTCTTTCCCTTTGTCAGAAGCATTGTTTGATTCCAAATGTAATACTTCTAATTCGGTCCTTTTTTTTCTCCACAGCTTTCCAAAACACTGCGAATGCTGGTCTTTGTCTCATACATCTAATGCCCAAGAATTAGCCATGACAAACGCAGTTTCAAGCATTGTTGTTAGAATTACTAAGATGTGATCCTTAATGTTTTAAAATACATTTTTTCTGGTGCAAAGATG